CTGTACCCAAAAACAACATATGGGATATACATATACATATTTATATAGGAGATTTGCCATTTACTATTCAATATATTTTCTACGCTACAATAAATATTGCTATTGACTTTTGAGTCACACTATACGAGTAAAGATAAAAGTAAATATTTTCCATATGCTACACCTCTCGGAAAAGCCTGGAACTTGTAGACATAGAGGAAAGTGTGTGTCTACTGCAGGACCCCCATTTTGTTTTTGATTAAGTAGATATGAAAAGTAGCTAAAGGTATGTTTATAAAACTAAGTCTGCTTTGACATCATTCATTTTAGACATGCGTAAATTGTAGTTGAAAATTAATAACAGAATAAGTAATTTCCAAAAACCTAACACACCCCTGACATGCAAATTAAAAGCCAAAACCAAATTCATGGTAAAATTGTCAATCATCAATTGAGATTTCATGCGTAAGCAAGGGTACAAAATATATTTAATGCAGGTATATAGTTTTTCATAATGGTAGACATACATTTATTTTTCCACTTACTATTCTCACTATTTATTTCGACAGGTATCAATAGATTTAGCCATTCAAGAATGATTCCAATTCCAAGTATTAGTTTTGCCCTTTACCCTTTTCCTACGAAGGAATACGAGTAGTAGATATTAGGTCTAGAAGTATGAAAAGAGTCCGGTTTACGACACTAAAACTAAAAACTTTACCGAATAAAATTTCTATGAAACATATAAATAAATCAATCTCATAAGAAAGACTAACTCTATATACATGTATTGGTGTAAAAGGTTTCTTGCAAAAACCTAGGAATAATAATGAAAATTGCAGCGCTGAGCAAACACTTGTTCCACTGTGAAACACATAATAGTGAACAAACAACTGCTCCACCAAGGCGTGATAGATGCATAAACTACTATTTACACTTGGTATTTAATGAAATATCAGAGAACGCAAACGCAGTGATACCAGGGATCTACTTTAAGGGACTTATTTTTATTTTTACTCTGCCAACAAAAATTAAGGACCAATAGGTATTCTTAAAACCATTGAAGTGTGAATGCTGATAGAATCAAGCTATTACAGATTACAGTAAAATTATCAGTCGTCGAATTGGCATGATACAGGTTGGGAAACATGTGTTTTGAGAAACGTTATTTTTCATTATTTAAAATTGCTCGATTCAGCTTCTAGAAAGTGAAATCGAGAAAGAAGAAATGGGCGACGCTCCCAGATGGCATCCTGAGACAAAGCTTTTCTACAAAAGAGAGGCACCGGCACCATCACCGACAGCTTCGAATAACTCGGCAACTACTGAGAGCAATTCCATCCAGTAACGGCGAATGCACACATTGACGACTTCTGCTATGATTAATGGTATAGAGCTATGGAGCATTTTGTAAATAATGAAACAGTGAGGGTGTTTTTCTGGTTGAAATTCGACGTGAATTATTTTATCTTGATGATAGGGTAAAACTCGGAATAACTTAGGAAACATTTCTTCAGTTAGAGCGTAGAGTTAGGGCAACAATCCTCGTGAAATTTGTTGATTTTCGAAAATCCCCTTTATCGAAGATACTGGCTGATACTTTCAAATGCTGGATGAGGAGCTGACTAAATAAGAAACTAATGCTGTTTTTTAAGGAAGTAGTCACTGAGGAAGAATTTTGGATCCTTAGACAAATGCGGATACGGTCAAAAACTTCTTCGACAAGTATGTTCAAAACAAGGCGATTTCCTCCACCATTTTTGTCCAGAATTTTTTCGCAGCGTTCCAGCTAATATATCATTACGAAAATACATAAAAAGAGTATTTGACAAAAAATCTAATTACAGATCGTAGCCAGTAACAACTAGCAAATGGTGAAGATTGAGGTTCAAAAAGTTGGGGTAATTTAGTGTCGGCTACTTGCTTATTATTATCATTTTCTGAGTCTAAGTAGGAGCGGCCTCTATATGTTTAGCGAAAACATACTGGAGTTGTTGGATATATTAAGAAAGAATTATGAGCTGGGTGGTCTTTAGCAAATAGTCTGGGTCTGGAATCTCAGATTTCAGCTGGACGTAGTCATTTTTAACATCTTTTTTTGGGGATCAAGAAGCTTCACATGTGATTTCAATTAGCAAACGTGCTATTTTAAAAAAATTCGTTCATCTTGTATCCTAGACAAGGCGCAGCTTATATAGTCGAATAAGTTATCCTTTTAACTTTTCTCACATGCTTAGGGAACACATCTATATTTGAATACAATACTACTGCACCTATTTGCGCGATGAGAAATAAAAGAGCCTAACTGCAACTGCAACTCAGAGGGTATAGCTATATCACTTATACATTTACTAATTACGTCCATATTACGACTAAAATAATGGTTAATTGTTGTTGCTATTTTCTATAACATCTGTTCATATGCAACAATCCAAAATTTTCAAATACAGCCACATCTTGCAGTTGCGATTATAATCAGAATAATCAAACTCATTATTTTGTAGCTATGGGTTTCAAATAAACACTGTCCATCACAATGATTAATCTATCTCAAACAATACTACTTATTTTGTAATTTACACTTCGCACTTTCTCATCTCTGTTACACGTAACATATTTGAAATCTTTTAGCGATTGTTGTATTGTGATTATTTATGTCTACAACATCTATATCAAGACGCTATATATGTGAGGCAATCATTTGTGGGAGCGCTTATTCGTTTTATATTGATTGTGAAAAACCCGTGACACCGATTCTCTTACAATCTTTTTTATACTCTTCATGTTCATTAGTCATCCACTTATGTCCTGTTTCAAAATACATTTTACTGCTCATTCATACGTTGAACAAACTGCATTACATTGTTTCAAGGCCCCAAACGAAACGTGTTACTAATAAGGAGAATAACATAGAGAAACGGGTATTTTCCTCTTATTTGCTTTTACAGAGAGAACGGGTTTTTGTTTTAGTCAACGTGTCTTCCAATGGATTTTTGGAAGTAATGAATTCACAATGAATCAGCGACTTAACATTTTTTATCAATCAGGTCATAAAAATTCAACAACATTATTTTATATTGATCTTTGTTTGCAAGGCATCGTTTAAATTCGAGTAGTGTAACAAAAATGTCTAACAAATATGCTAACATAAAAACACCCTCACACGAAATTTTAAAATACCTATGATTGAATGTGACAATAATGTTAACAATATAAAGCACATACGTTCTGGCAAATTGGAAAGTACATGCATACGATATTTGAAGAGTTTATAATATTCAACAGTATACGTATTTGAAAAAAATGTATGATTTTCGTATTTTGTGTGTTACTAGATATTTACTTTTATTTTTTTTAGTACTACAACACTGTTCTATATACTGCTTCATTTAACTGTTTTATACATACATTTTAAAGCTTTTAAATTATTGTTTGTTATTAACAGGAGCCAATCCCTGTAGGGGGAAAATTTACTCTTAAACAACTACTTAAGTAATTAACATTATAAGCGCATAAAGACACACATGTGTTGCCAAAGTTTGATTTAAGTTACATTATCCATATTACTGCCTCGAATATTTTTTCAAACGATTCACACAAATAACGGAGTATCGATCCTTGTACATTTCGGTTTGTCAATGGGGTGAAAACTATTTAAGTAAGGTTTAGAGCAATATTTTGATCAATTTTTAATATAAATGTGATTTTTATGTAAATGTGTCTTAAATAAATGTCTCAATTAAATCAGCACGAGAATAAAATCTCTTAAAAAATCGATGTTTTATTGTGCTCCTACGTTGGGTTCTGGGCAGGGGCGTAGCTATCCTAGGGCAAACCGGGGCAGTACCCGGGGCCCCGGCTTATAGGGGGCCCCGGCCATGCGCCTCAAAAAAATTGTTTTTAAGCGCCGATCAGCAATAAATTCATTAAGTGCTAATATAACCTAGGTATACTAGAAAGAAAAATAAATAATAAAGATAATGATAAATAATGTTTATTTTTTAAAACGCTGCATATTTGAGGAAATCGCTTGCGTTCCTAAATTTATGTAGCTATAATCCGTCGGACCGCGACGGGCTTGGCACCAACGTCTCGTCTTTGGGGATTCCCCGATCTATTGTTTTGATGTTTTTAACTACCCAGCGTGCCCTATGTGATATTGATATGTGTCGTAGTCGTGCCGTGGTGCCCGGCGTGGTGTAAAATAACATTACTATATTTGTATTGTGACTATTGTGTCTCGTTATAATAAGGTACCTATTAGAAAAAAGGTAAGTGTAAGTTATATTACTTAATGAATAAATGGCTCGATTTTGATTTGTGCGTAATTTTGTTTGTAAATGTACATTTGTCCATTACCTTGCTGAGTAAAGGCGCCCGCAAAATTTCCGTAACGTAAGTTAAGTTTCATTTAAGACAGATTAAGACTTAACCGCAAGAAATTATACAGAATTCTGATCAAGTGATTTATAAATTATAGTCAGTATAGGCATGAGAAATTACGTTACAGCTTAAGGTTTAAGTCTGGGCTTAAGTCTTATGTTACGGAAACTCTGCGGGCACCTTAAACCCGACACTAAATTCTTAAAAGCTTCTTAAAGACTAAAAATGATCTATTGACTGTTTCAAAAATATCGACTAATTTTTTTTCTCTTAAGTATATCGAACAAATTGTTTGAAAGGACGAAAAAATCCTGTAAAAGTTACAGCTCTTTAACATTTCTTCATTAACATGGGAAAAAATTGTTTTCAACTTTTGAATTTTTTTCTCATTACTAAATTATCATACGGATGTGTTCATAGTTTACTCTTGTAGGGAATTGAATGCTTTCCAAAAAAGGTCTCTTACAATTTTCCGATAAACCTACTCGTTCAAAAGTTTTTCGAGGGAAATTGAAATTTTCGATGCGGCACCACTTAATATTAATATTAAGAGCTGTTACTTTTACAGGATTTTTTTTTCGTCACTTCTAACAATATTTTCGACGTACTTGAGAGAAAAAAATAGACGATTTTTTTGAAACAGTCTAATTGATACACAACTATCGAACTATTTAATGCATTTAAAAATGGATGTGTATTCTTCTCTTTGCAGAATTAGCAGATTGCGGAACAAAACGCAAAAAAAATAAAAATGGAAGATTAGCCGAAATATCAGTCTGGAGCGCAGAAACGAAAATTAAAATTAGAAAAAGAGGAAAAATTAAAAAAGCATGCTGAAAAAAACAAGTAACTATGCAAAATATATATTCTTTTTTTGGTTTAAGTATTGATAGATGGGATCTTTTAGGTTCTTTTACCAGTGAATCTAGAACAACTTTAAAAACATTAAATCCAACTCGTTGGTCAGGAAGGATATTGTCTATTAGTGCTGTCAAACTTCGTTATCTTGATATTATTAAATCTTTAACAGAAATAGAGTTACAGTCTCATAAAAAAGAAGAAAGAGAAGAAGCTTCTTCCATTAAAAAACAAATGTGTTGCTTTGAATTTGTATTTATTTCAACAATGTTGTATAAAATCTTTACCCAGGTTAACTTCGCCTCAAATGTCCTTCAAAAGAAAAATATTGATTTAAGTGAATCTGTGACTGTTTTAGAACAAGTAGAAAAGAACCTTACTGACTTAAGATCCTCTTGGGAAATTTTAATGATTGAAGCTACGGCACTGGCTAACAAATGGAATATTCAACCGGAATTCAGGCAAAAACGTCAACCTAAAGTTAAAAAACACTTTGACAAACTCTTAAGTGATTACAGATTTAATAATAGTCAAATTTTATTTAAAATAAATGTTTTTAATGTTGTTATGAACCGTGTTCTGACACAGATTTCTAATAGATTTAGAAGCATGAAAAAAATTAATAAATTGTTTGATTTACTTCTTCCAAAAATTATATTAAGTTGAGATGAAACATCCATTAAAAATAAATGTACAGCCATTTATAACAAATATCCTGAAATAGTTGATTTAAATAATTTAATATTTCAGTATACCAATTTGTTAAATGTTTGTAAAAGAGATTCTTAAGGTCTATCTATCAATTAAGGAATATTTCAATATAATTTTAAATAAGTATGGGGTACTTGAAAGCGACTTAAGTGAAGTTTACTTAATGTTCCTTTTATTTTTCACGTTGCCTGTAACTACTGCATTTGTTGATCATTTAACAAGCTAAAACTTGTAAAAAACTATCTTAGGTCTACTACAGGCCGGATTAGATTAAGCGATCTTGCTTTACTCTCTATAGAGAATGAAGAAGCCCAAAACCTTGATATAAATGATATTATCAACGAATTTGCAAATCGAAAAGCAAGAAAAAGGGATTTTTAATTTTATTATTGCTTAATTTTTGACTTTTGTTATTTCATTATTTTAATTTGTGTTACTTTTTGTTTTTATGACAATAAACATTTTTTTTTATTATAACATGATATTTTTTATTCGTAAACATACTCATGAGGACCCCCAAAAAATGTTTGCCCCGGGGGCCCATGACTTCTAGCTACGCCACTGGTTCTGGGTTATAGGGTTGAAAGGCTGCTAGAAATAGACGGATAAACAGAATAAATTGGATAATTTAATGTACATAAAAAGACCATTTCGCTTTCGAACATTTCTACTAGCTTACTATTACTTTGTTTTTATGACAACATGTTAGCACTTCAATTTTGAATATAAGACAAAAGTACTTAACAATACAATGAAATTCTAGACGTCTAAAACGACAGGTAATAAAAAATAGCAATCGAGAGGAGTGCAGAGAAAATAAGAAGGCGGCTACTTTACTGTTTTTCATTTGCAATAAGGGGTTATTACCCGTTATGTCTCCGAACAAATTGGTAATTGCCTATCATCTGTCTAATTACGTATTTCACTTTTATTGCCCAACATAATCACAGTGATGATATTTTATTGTAATCGAGACGTTGGCTGGCTTAACCCGAAAGTAAATGCACGTACTTCATCAACAAGATATCATTTTATGTGCGTAAAAATCAATAGAACCACCTACACAGCTGACCACTTAGTAATTAGGTTTAGTTCAGATATGGATAAAGTATTGTTAAGTTTCACAATGTTATTGAAAAGTAAAGTGTTTTGGGGATAGTGGATTGTTTATTTTTGATTTAATAAAACGGTTCTTAAATCGGTAATCTTCAATAAATTAGAGGAATTATAAGTGTAAATCATCACTACGCATATTATGCAATGTGTAGCTAAAACTAAATGCTCTTTCTCAAAACACTCTTTAATATGATTATTACCAGGACTCTTATTGTTTTCCTGCTCCATTACGTTTTTATTTGGTCAGCAATTAAAATTATAGATGTGAGGTGAAAAACATTCACCAATGTTTCAGTTGCCACTGCTGTTTTTTTAACACGTTCAGTGCGAACAGCGTTAAAAGACGCCCTCCGCTCCTATGGTGAGAGGCGAACGGCGTCTTTCGACGCTCTCTGCCGGCTTCCAAAAGAAGTATTTCAGTTTCTGAGGTGGGTATCCTCATCCCAGTTCGCAGTCAATGTGTTAAAGCACAAAAAAGGGGAATAAAGGTTATTAGAGAGATTTGGCAATTTGGCTTACGTGAACGTGAAATTCAATGTTATTTTGACATTTAAGCCAACGATTCATGTGTGGCAAATATCAAAAAGATATTGACGTTAACGTTTACGTATGCAGTATTTGTGATTGATTTTACTTACTGGATTTCCACTGATGCCACCCAGAGAACTACATCCTACACATCTATGATACTTGCTTAACAGGCGAAAGATTCTCTCACATGGATAGACGATCTACCGATATGCTAACGGAGCTTGCTTCTTTGAATTCTCCTCCGTAATGTCGCCACGTTCTACGCTCGCACCAGCGTTCTGCTTCTGATTACAACTCATTAAAAATCTTAACATCAAAGATATGACCGCACATATAGAAGAGTTAAGAGGCCCAAAACAGATCAAGTAGATAGATAGATTCATCGCGGTCAAGATATCACGGTATTTAGATTCTGCCATAAAAAAATGGCGTCAAGTGAGTTGAATCTGCACATTCCACGCAACACTGTCATCAGTTCCTACAGGGTTATGTGCACCACAAGTTATAAAAACGTTAGCTAAGAAATGTGGAACAAAAAAATTTAATGGATCAAGTCAGTCAAACCGGTCCGTACAATTAGTCGGTATTGAAAGAGTATAAATAACTAATCCAAAAACTTGAGATACACCCTCTCCAACCCCCTACTAATCCCAACCCCCAACTTTTAGCCTCTACGATTTTTTCCTAAAAATAATCAGGAGCTTTTGAAACCCCAACGTCATGAGCGATTTATATTTTTTCGTTTCTTCCGCTGCGTCGTTATTGTACCGATTTTCAAAAACTCCAAATCTTTTTCGTCTCTGGCATGGTAGTAAGTAACCTTGTATCAAAATTAATTTCATGAGATTGCGAATTATAGCGGGGCCAAGAACTAGCGGACCGACAGACGCACAGACAGACCGACCATCGAAAATGAGTGTCATGGTTTTCCGTGATGTATAGTCATTCAACATCCAAAAAATATTATATTTTATTATGGAAAATTTTTCGAGGTTACGAGTGTAATATTTCTTCGCTCAATGCCGTGTGAAGTAAGAAAACGTCCGCAACGAAGCAATACTTTTATTTGTAGACCTTTATAAAGGCAGAAAACAGTAGTTGCAATATTGTATCCAATTTGAAACCAATGTATTTCAATAATTGTACCTATTAATATGTGTAGTAAGCAGCAACAGTTTTCTTAAATGACCAAACGCATCTGGCAGGTCGCCTTGGCGGCCGACCAACTCTCTGTGCGTGTGTCTCGACCAAACATTTTAGCACTTTAGGAAGCTATAAAATCAATACTCTAGAGGTTTCGGTGAATACATTTCTACAACAAATGATAGTTTAGGAGTCTAGATCTAGACCGTGGTTATCTTGTCTTCACGTGCTTTTCACCATGTCTTGTCAAAGTGGTCTTCAGCAATGTAGTTTGAATTCAGTCTTTGTAAATGTATACAGTGTGACACTTAAAAAGTAAAATATATATACTAAGTGGCATAGAAAATGCAACACCTACTAGGAGTGCTGTAATTTTGAGCATACTTTTACAACTTTTAGGTCTACTGATAAATAGAAAGTGATTAAAATTTTAATTCAAAATTTTGCAAAATAGCTGAAATATCCCACCTTAATGTTAATAATGTGTTGAAGCTCCTCTGTTCGCGACACATTTGGTAAACACGTTCGATCAAACAAGGACATCCCATGTAAAAAAGTAATAGAAACGATTTTGTTGTAGGAATTAAATTGTCATTCTGCGCTCTTAACATTTTTCGGTATAGTCAACAGTTTACGAGATGTTGTTCAATCAATGAAAAAATATGCGCTTTTTGCAAGAAAAATGTCCTATTCCCGGGTGTTACTTCGCAGAACCGCATCAGGTATGATAGACAGCATAGTCAGAGTAACAGCACTCCAGGTCTTACGGCCAAAAATTAACAGATAAAATCATGTGTCCATTAAGGATGTCATGCATTTACTTTTTCATGAACACCGTTTATCAATTACTGGTTGTTTACACATTTTAGCACTCATGTTTATTGATCGACCAGCCAAAGATTGCTAGGGACGAAAGGGGGAAATGCGATGAAAAAACCTTACCATTAGACGATTTTATATGGAGTCATAGGCGGAGATCGGAGAGACTTGAATTATTAATTGAATTTATATTTTATTACAACTGGTAGTATTAATATTTTTTTGCGATTCATAATGACGTGATACCAAACATACATTATAAGAAATAAATATACACAAACACTGAATATTGAGAACAAAATAAATATATTTTTTAGGCAACAAGTAATATTCCTATGTACGCATTATGATTGAACAGCAAAACAAATTATGCATTCTTCTAAAATAGAATACAACAAGTCAAAAATATCTGACTGAATAGAAAAATATAGGAAAACAAAAAGTAATTTCTTGATGAAATAACCCATAAACAACACATAGAATTAGACTTTCTACTGAGATACTAAAAGCCACAAACCAATAGTATAATAAATGAATATCTAAAAATTCTAAAAGGTAGCCAATCTAGTATAGTTTCAATCCTGATTAGAGTCATGATCACTGTCTGAGGAACTGTCATTGCTATCACTTTCACCTCCTATGTTGATTATTATTTCTTCCTGTATTTCTTGAATGAGACTGTCTTTTTCCCAATATTCATCTTCAATTTTTATAACATGTCCAATAACCTTTTGCCAGTCACTGGCACTTACTGAAGCGATGGCCTTATTAGAAATTTCATCTAGTTTTTTTATAGTAAATTCGCCGCTTGTATTATGGCTTCTAATGAAAAATTTTACTTGTGCCCAAATCATCTCTATGGGATTAAACTGACACATATAGGGTGGCGTTCGAAGTGGGGTGTGTCCGAAACTTCTTATTAAATTATCTATCTTATAATTTTTCTCATCAGATGGTGGCCTATGTAGACAAGCTATTTCATAAAGCTCCATTTTTTTAGCATTAGGATCATGCTCTATACCTTTTTTGCTCAACCACGTGATGATGTCTCTTTTTAGAGAAGATCTAGTTGGAGGCTTGTCTTCCAAAGCTGAATGGTAAGGTGCATTATCCATTATTATAATACTATTAGGAGGAATGTTAGGAAATAGTTTTTCAGTAAGCCACTTCGTGAAATTTTCTTGGTTCATTTGACCGTGATAATCACCAGTGGCACAGCCAGCCTTGAAAATGAGACAGGCTCCAGGAACAAAACCATCTTGCGAACCCGCATGAACAATTATAAGTCGTCCTGGAAATGAATAAATAGCCTCATTTTAGTGTTATTTTAAGTTTGCCAACACCTTTTTGAATCACTATGTATAAAAAACATATTTTTGAGAAAAAAATACTTGCAAGGGATTATGTATTCAATTAGACAAATTAAATGAGCACTTATTAAGAATATTCCAAAATTGAGAAAAATGTATAATAAGCAAAATCGAGGTGAAAGAAACTTTATTACCTGTAGAACTTATATTGCTCAGGACACCCATAATTTCTTCGCTTTGCCAGCATTTCTTGAAAGTGAGGTCATTATCAACCCAAGTTTCGTCCAAATAAATAATATGCCTTCCTTCTTCCCGGAACTTTTTAATAGACCTAAGATACTTGTATCGCCAATGTAAAATACTGGGTCTTTCCATTAGTAATTTCCTTTTGTTGTGGCATTTACGCCAGTAAAATCCTTTTGCTTTTAAAAGCAGCCTCAACGATTCTTTACCAAATGGAAATTCCATGTCTTCCTTCAGTTTGATTAGAAGTTTACTACAAGTAGGTACCACTTTAAAATCACAGTAAAATTTTTCTATCATTCTCCGAATAATGGAAAAATCGACTCCATCAATTTTTTGGATCACAGAAGGGCGTGATCTCTTTTTTCCGGGAGAAGCTAAAGGCTGTGTGGAGGTTGCATTTTGCCTGTCTTTATCTTCTTTTCTAATTTTACTTATAGTTCGTTCACTAACACCCGTATAATATGCCGCCCTTGCATTTCTAGCTACCAGTGGATAAACGAAAGTATTGTTAGCCGCTTCTGCATCGCAAGCACGTATCACGTTTGCTATTATTTCCCTTGCCTGGCTGTGAATAACTTTCCCATGCTTGAATTCCATTATCACCACTAAACAGTAAATTATATTTTCAAAGTATTTGCCAACTGCCTACGCCTATGGGAGTAGGTTTATAAATGACCGTGCCATCGGCACGTTATTCTAGTTTCAGATAAGATAAGAGTTTTGGACCAATCAGCGACCGGATGTTTACCTGCGGCCTGGGTTTTCCAGCTACATTGCCAAATTCAGCGGAACAATTCTATATCTTAAATATGTTAATATGTATGGACCGCATTTTATGTAGAACATCTGACAACTTCGCAATTTTTTGTCCGCATTCTTTCGGCTTGCAATCTTTCGCTGGTCCAACATTAGTTGTTGTCTAGAATGGGGTGGTCTAGCCACTGACCCATCTGGCTGTCTTGGCTTCATCCGGCTGTGGCACGTCGGCGTGTCGCTTGTTTATCTTCTGCAAGACTTGTTAATGTGGTACTCAACAGGCGCCACGTGCCGAAGTCTCGAGCGTTTCAGCGTACGAGGAGACAACAATATTTTTTCTGTAACCACCACTAAACGTCAATGGTTCTAGAAGGTTTGGAGCTTAATGAAACAGCATTTCGTATTTCTCCCTGTACAAATAAATAATTGTTTCTCCAGGCAACCTAAGCTGTTCATTAAAATTTTGGAAATTGCGCAATGGGAATCCATGTCAAGAACAATGATTGCCTATCTTCATCCTGATTTCGCGCTCTTGTAACAGCGCAATCTCAGTATCGGCTAATTCGACTTCCATGCTATATTAGAAGATATAAGTATGTTATGTGATTCAATCTACTAGCAAAGTCAAGAACGGCAAAGCATCCGTAAAATTCCCCATTTTGTTAATATCTGATCAAATATTTTTTAAGGTATCAAAACCATCAGCTTTGTTTATATACGTTTATATAATTCCATCGCGTACCCAAGAATGCATTTTGAATATGCTCGAGAATTCAGGGCTTGTTGATGACCTCCCCACATTTTCCTTTTCCTTTGCTGTTTTTTGGTACGCTGATACCCGCCAGAAAAAATACAGGCCTATTATTATTAAGGAAAGCAGTTAATGCTGGAGAATCGTATTTTATTGAGCATCACCGCTCACAATAAAAATTATTCATAGACCCTCTAATATGTATAATGATAACATGAAGCGATAGTATTTAAAATCATTATATCATTGTTATTAAAACATTTTTGTCGAGGCTCTGCATCTCCTCAAATCTGTTATTTTATCCTTCGAAATGATGAACGTGTGTTTTTTTGAACTTTGATCATATTTACGCAATAAAGTGCTCATACTGTATACTCCGCATAAGTCAATCAATGTTGAATAAATTAGTGTTGACAGAGCTAATTATTTTATTTGTTCTTGTTTGGTTCACTACTTTGGTTTCGCAGAAATCTACCCAGACAGCTTGAAAGGTTTCTTGGGCAGGCCCTTTGCAAAGTTCAAAAAATTCTTTTTATACCCTTCTCAACTAAGAGTACTCAATTGAACTGGGTATTTGTGGTCGACCCTCGTATACCTGGTCTCCGCGCCAGGAAGACACCACTTTATTCTAAGGGATTATCTGGTCTAATTACCAATATTTATTGTTGTTGAATACATGCAGACGTCTAGGGCAGCGAAGGCCTATTTAACTTGACCCTTTCCATGGAGGATCCGCATTTAGATTCGGTTTTTAGAAGAAGAGCATACTTTTAGCTGACAATTGTGATAGTGATGATTTGTGATACAGTGCTTGTAAGGAATATTCTTGGCTGCTCCAAGATGAGTTTATATGTGGTAAGTTTCTGCCTATTTTTCTTATTTATAATTAATTCAGTTGCGAACGTTTTATAGTTGAATATGGGTATATTTTGATCGTACGTTCAGAATCCAGATAGCCACTTAATTTTTTATAACACTTTAAATGATAAATATTATTATTCAACAAATTAATTGTTGATTTGGGTTATGAATTATTTTGCCTTGCTAACAAGATTGACCTCACTTTTATAGACAAAGTTTTTCTCCCGCACTCTACAATTACTTTGACAAATAATAAATTTATTTCGGCTATTAAATTTTTTGTCATACTGATGTTGTTGCTATATTTTTCGTTTCATATTCTTTTGGCACTTTCCTAGATTGACAGCTACTCTATTTACCTTCTAATAGATAGATAGATAGTGTATTGTCACATTAGATCATGCTAGATGATATAAGACTTGTCAATATGAAACTGAAGAACATATATGCATTTGAGCGAACATGCCGTAAAAATACGTATAAATATAAAATAAATAAGGACATTACAATTACAAAAAAGTATATAACATTTCCACAAGTTAAATCATAATATAAGAACAAAGCACTTTTGCAATTTATTTGGGGTCTGGTGATGACCTACGTTGAGGTCGTTCAAAGTTTACAATCTATCAGCAGAATGTACTCGATTAAATTTTTGTATTAATTTATTTTGTCATAATAAGCATACAGACAGATATTATTTTAACATCATAGTGACGGAGTAAATTGTGATATTGTACTAGTCTTATTCATCTTTGGTATCATGCATTATTTAGATCTTCCATCAAGCGTATCTTAAATGTTCTCCTTTTCTTTTTTCAGATAATTTTGACAGTATTTTTGACCTGCCACTTCACGTCAAGTGCTGCAATTTCAGACAAACCTCCTGCCAAGAGGTCTATCATCAACGCATATCCAGACACATCCAGGTATGGCGAGGTGTTTCGTCCACAAGATTCATCCGAAAATTTGCTTAAAAATTTCCTCGCAGACGAGAAGAACAAGCACTTTATCATCACCCAGAACGGAGACCACGTCTCCCAAATCCCTCTCATGGAGCATGACAGTTCCGAAGATTACTACGACTACGACGAATCGGAACATGTGCTTGCAGATGAGAATAGTAGCAATGAAATTGATTCTGGTACTAAGAAGAAATATCTGCAAAAAAGAAAGACTGATGAAGCTGTGGAAGTACCGGACTACATTGTGAATTTTTTCATCGAACAGAAAATACTCAGAGAACAGAGAGGTACGTTGAGTGATTTCAATTTTCAATTTTTTGTCTTTGGTAAAATGTCACTAAGGACATTCAAGGTACAACTGCGCTGTAGCGGATGTGTGTTGTGTAACCATTTCGGTTTAGAATGTGTTAAATCTCTTTTTTTCTAACTTCTGTTGCTGTATGACAAAATATTGCATTATTACGTTTAGCAAAATAAAAATCACTAAGCAATTAGTATTAAGAAATGATCGGTAATAAACTACTTGATAGTTAAGCTTCAAACTCACATGAGAATATGGAAGAGGTAGGGTAATGAATATCAAGATCACACGCAATGTGTATGTCACACCGGCGGTTGCGATACGATAACTACGTCTGCGACTCTTTTTGAATGAAAACCCTGCACGCTATTGAAACAACAGCTCGTTGGCCTCCGATCCCGCCTATATCGGTATCTAAGTATTCAGGATTAATATCGGTAAGCAGAGGTCTCCTTGGAAATAAAGTGAGCTAAAGTTTCTTAACAGAAAGACACGCATAGCACTCAAAGTAGTGACAATATCAAATTCAACTATTTAAACTAAATTTCTTACTTAGTTACAAAGTTATAATGTTTCGTATTTTTTTCTACAGAAAAGGAACGCAGATGTAAGGAAGAACAGACCTATTATACTAGAACGCCACCTCCAAACTCTGATATCAACTTGGTTTTACATACCAGAACCAAATACCCATCAAAGATTGATTATAACATATTTGATTTGAAAACAAATACAGATACGTCAAATGATGAGCTGCATGAAGAATCTGAAGACTACGATGGAGAACCTGATTACGAAGAAGAAGGCTCTGAAGGTGATTTTGTTCCAGAATCCCAGGATCATATCACATCAATTGCTGCTACAACCATAACAACCGCACAACCCGAAGAACCGCGTCCACGATGGAACAGCATCAAAAACGTACTCTCCAATGTATCCAACTACAAGCGACCCCAAAAGGTCGATCGCTATATTTCCAAACAACCCGGCGAAAAGCATAGGAGTAGAAGGAGTACTTCTAAGAAGGAGAAAACTCACCGAAAACCATTTAGAGATATTTTGTACAAGATCATACCCAAGCAGTACGCTAAGAGGTATATTGCACCGAAGTACTTTCCAAAGACTTTTAGGGTGACATCTAAGGTATATCCCGTACTGACTAAGGAGATACTGAGGAATGAGCTTCACGGTATGTATTTTTTAAGCATTTAATACACGTCCTTCAATATTCTCATTGTTTCCTAGTGAAATTTTATTACAAATGTCACAAATTATAAAGCTAAGATTACATACTATAAGATACTTTTGGCAATCACAAATAGCGTATATGTGAATGTTAGCATTCGTCTTATTTGACATTCAGTTCACTGATATATATGAGATAAATATCAAAAATGGGGTTAAGTTTAACGACTGAAGGTAGTATTAGATGCTACTAATCCACCTATATATTCTATAAGTAAATAAATTGTAAGCATTGTTGTTGCTGTTGTCTGCCAGCAAGTATTTGCTAACAGTTATTTTGTCTTGTTACAGATCCTGCAAAAGGAAAAACTGCACATCTTCATGAAGATTCTAGCACAATGAGCCAGGTCGGATTAGAGGATGTTTTCAATCATGACATTCGCAGAAATAGAAGAAATGAGCGACCAATTGACGTTGTGGGAAGCTTTGAGCAAGTTTGGTAACTGAACGCATGTACTATCATTCTAGTTGTTTATCAAAATTTTTGTCATTCAAGCTCCATAGCGTTGGAGTATAGAAACAGCTTTATGCACTAGTGTTATGCACTGTTAATTAGTTAGTCGAAAATTCTTGTTTCTTGTATGTGGAACGAAACGGTGACTTCTATGTACTTAATGTGTCATGTGTCATAACTGTGACGTGTTATTAACGGGTATTCCTCAAATTGAAAGGCGGTGGCTTTTGTAAACTATAATACGTTCATTTAATTTCGGTGTGCTGCCAAAGTCGTCAAAGATATTTTAATTCTAGGAATGCTTTATACAAATCTCTATGTGCAATATTTTGAAACGGCTTGATCAGCTCAAAGTTGAAATCAGGCTAGTTAGGCTCGTGTAAATATGTTTATAATTAACTTAGCATTATGAACTTGTGATATTAGTTTGTAAGTGAATTTTAATACTATTTATTGAAAACGTTTACATATTTTTGTTTGAATAAAACCATTGAAAATGAGTCTGTCTTTTTTTGTCTACGAAATACTGAATATGGGTATCTAAGCTTTGAAAATGAGTCTGTCTTTTTTTATCTACGAAATACTGAATATGGGTATCTAAGCTATAACTGACTCAATACATATCGCGATTAACGCGTAAACATAAACTACGTTCACGTTTAAAATAAATCACAAGCATAAACTGTTTTGAGTTGTACGTGCAAACTATTGTAATGACATCGTCTGTCATCGAGTACAAAGCCGGAAACTCTCAACTAGTACAAAACTTTGACACTTGATTATTCGGTTGCGGTTTAGGCTTTGTTCTAAAAAAAAAGCCAGACTACATAATTGTGTCACAGGGTCGGAATCAGGATAACTCATTTTCAAAAAAGATAGAAATTAGCGATATCCAGAGAATAAGTCTACATTGTACTAGCTCATAATCCTGGAAAATTTAATGAAACCCTGGAAAGCAGTATAATTCATTGTATATGATACCGGTAATCTCTATAATTCAGGTATTCTATACAATACCTAGGCAATATATAGAATACCTGGGTTGCCCAGCCAATGTATGAAATATTATGAATATTATTATCCATTACAGACTTTACCTAGGTAATGAATACAATTCCTAGGGATTGTATAGAGTACCTGCTGTTCCACCGGCAATGTGTAAAATAAATAGAACTTGGTCTAAATTTAACAATGTTAACCGGCATACCTAGAAAATGACGAGCCAATGAAACAAGTCATATTATTTAAAATCAGCTTTATTAAAATTAACACTTAAAGTGCTCCTTAAAAATAAGTTTTATGAAAAGGGTACAAAAAAGCACCTTTCTGTTCCTACAGTAAAAGTCACAGTAAAATTATCGTGGAACTAAAAATTATTCTGGCTATAATAACATAATAATTTTCTTTGCTTACAAGTACGTAGGTAATACGTATAATAAACTTATGAAACAAAATAATTCTGTAAAAATATAGGCAGTGTAGGTCTACTGCTTAGTCAAAATTTTAATTAAGTACATACGTGACAAAATTATTTATTTTTACATGAGGAACTATTGTGAAATTTTGAAGTTTTTTTTTTATATCGAAACAGCCGCGCAGGCAGAAGCCTAAATGCCGGAACACAGCGGCTGCTATGATGATCCCAAAGCAATTTTGTTAATACGATTTTTAAACTGCCTAAGGTTAATAGAACTGGGAAAAGCTTCCTCCCGTAGATTGTTCCACAGTCTAGACACCCTCGGGACAAAGGAGCGGTTGTATCGGCCAGTTCTGGATGTACGAAGTTTGACACGGTTAGGATGGGACGCCGAAGTCAGGCGGGTCTGTCTTGCAGGCACATAGCGCGGCGGCATCATGGAAGAGAGCTCTGAGGAGCAAAGCCCGTTGGTGTAGCGATAGAAAAGAGCTAGATCGCCGACGGCCCGCCGGTGCGAAAGAGTCCCGAGACTGTCTGTTAGAGAAGAGTCATCGATCAGTCGGACCGCCCTCCTCTGGGCAGCATCGAGCATGGACAATGTAGTCGGGGCGGCAGCACCCCAAATGTGTGAGCAATACTCGAGGCTAGGCCTTATCTGGGCCTTGTATAGAGTGAGAAGATCATGCGGAGAAAAGTACTTCTTAGCCCTAAACAAATAGCCTAGCTTTTTCCCAGCAGCTGCAGTTATTGAAGAGATGTGTTCGTGCCAGATCAGGCCCTCGGTGATCTGGACTCCGACCAGCCGAAATGAATGGCTCTTTGGTAGAACTCGGCCGTCCATCAAAACTGTATGAGCGCTAGGACGCTTTTTGTTCGTCAAAGTACAGTACTGTGTTTTGGAAGCATTGAACTGTACAAGATTGTTGCGTCCCCAAGCAGTGATAACCTCCAGGTCTCTTGTCAGAGAAGAAGTCGCTAGTCTTCTTTTTTACAGCTCAGCGGCAGATATCGGCTTGTCACTCTTAATTCCTGCATGTAGAGTGCTGTCATCAGCGAAGCTGTGGATTGGGTTGATCGTTTAGGAAAGGAGGTCGTTGATATGTAAGAGAAACAGTGTTAGAGCCAAGACCGATCCCTGGGGAACACCCGCGTTGACGTTGTGGGATGAAGAGGAGAATCCGTCAATTACGACGGATATCTTGCGGCCAGAGATAAAGTCAGCCACCCATCTGCAAAGCTTTTCTGGGAGGCCATAGGATGGAAGTTTGCTTAAGAGGGCAGCGTGCCACAGCTGATCGAACGCTTTCGTGATGTCAAGAGCTACGACATGAGCCTCACCATGAGACTGGATGAGTTTACTCCACAGTTGCGTGACGTAAGCTAGGAGGTCCCCTGTGGATCGTTGGTGCCGGAAACCGTACTACCTGTCGCTAATCAAGCTGTGACGTTCGAGGTAGTCCAGAAGCTCGCGATTTATGCACCTCTCCATCACTTTACTTATAACAGAAAGCAGAGCTATAGGCCTGTAGTTGTAAGGGTCGGTCTTAGATCCTTTTTTTGGGATGGGCTGTACATGAGCAAATTTCCAGTTTTCTGGGAAGGTGCCGGATTCATAAGATATCTGGAAGAGACGCGAAAGAACTGGAGCAAGCTCCGCTGCACATCTCTTCAGTACAATGGCAGGAATCAAGTCGGGACCAGAAGCTTTGTTGATGTCGAGCAACAAGAGCACTCGTCTTACGGTCTTATGCCTGAATGTTACCTCCCGCATAGTGTGGGGAACCCTTTGAATTGACGGCACTTGGGCGTTGGTGGGGACGTCCATGGTGGAGTTGGCAGCAAAGACCTTGGCTAGCACTTCCGCCTTGGCCTTTGAGTCGAATACAATAGTTCCATCCTGACACGTAAGTGGTGGAAGACTACTGTGTGAGAAGTTCTTTTCAATCTGCTTGGCCAGCGTCCAGAAAGACCGACTGCCATTGCGCTGCGACATTACCCTGTGCCTAACTTTTATATCATGCTGGTTTTGGCATTGCGAACCGCTTCGTTATATTTGTTTCTGGACTCGACTTCGGGTTGTCTGTTCTCTACAGTGGGGTTTTGTAAGTAGGTTCTGTGTGCCTTGATCTTCTGGTGTCGAGCAGTGTCACACGATTTGTTGAACCAGCCGTTGGACCCTGGTTTAGGAACTTTCACTGTGTGAGGGATGTATTCCTCCATTCCGTGGATAATTTCGGTTATCGAAGAACAGACAGTCGACGCATCTGCGTCAGTGAAACAGACATGTCTCCAAGGAAAGCTAGAGAAGAAGTCTCTGAGCCCCTCCCAGTCGGCATGTCCGTAATGCCAAGTTTTGCGGCCTTTACGAGTTTCTGCTGCCACAGCGGCTTCTGACCGAAACCTAACCTCCACAACACCGTGATCTGAGTTACCCAGGGGGGCAGGACAGCAGTGCTGTAACGGACAGGATGCGTGGTCAGAAAGAGATCCAGCAGGCTACTGGCGTGTGACGAGACGCGGGGGAAAAAAGTAGGGCTCGTCACCAGCTGGGTCAGCCCTTGAGTAAGAGCGAACGCTTCGACTGCACGACCTGCTGCATCGGTCTTATTTGAGCCCAACCAAAGTTCATTATGGGCATTGAAATCACCGAGAAGAACTACCTCTGAAGCGGGGTGATTGATGTTCAGAAGAAGTGCATAAAATTCTCCTTGTTCTCGTCTTTTATATACATTACCGGCTGCGCATTCGGTATTGTATAGGCAAAGTATAAAACAAATAATATTTCATGCATTATCTACACATTTTAGGTATTCTATACATTACCTAGGTATTGTATTCAATACCGGATTATATAGAATGCCGATAACATATATATATATTTTGAAATAACTAATAATAAGAATGATTAAGATTAATCGTTGTAAAATACAATTTCAAATTCCATCAGAACTACATAAAGTGAGACATTAACGTAGATTTTTAATTTCGCAGTACTATCGGTCATTATAAAAAATGCTGAAGTAATAAATTGCTATTTGATTTTTAACATTCGACACACGAGTGTATGCCTTTCGTCAGAAGAATTCCAACAAAGCGTTGGAATGTTGTCGTATCTGAAATTGTCTTGTAACTCATGTCAATAATTATTTATTTTGCTGGTAAAAATGCATAAATCTTGAAGTAGTACATACACACATTACCATTGTGAAATGTACTGAGGGACAGTAAAGAATGGAATTGCAGACTGTTAGTCCAGTCACTGCAGTATGTACCTATTTGAGTATTTTTTGTAAGTTTGTTTGTAGAGTTATTCTTTGACGGTAGCTCAGATATCTTTGTTGAAGAATGTAGAATACCATACTGCAAGTTCTTGAAACAGTACTTCAGATATTTTTTTACAAGAAGGTTTCCAAATCTCCAATTCCTAATCATTTCATGTCAAAAGCCATTGTCAAGCTAAAACATATAATGGTTCCGTTTTGAATTTTAACGAAAAATTGTTTGCATTATATTGCTCCTTGTATATACGAGAATGTGTTTGGTGGAGTTTTTTGAAATCTCATGATGTCATGTCGTACAAGACCCCGTTTTGAAAAGTATCGGTGAATAAAATAATGTTCAAGTAAATTAAAACAATACTTCTTGCGTCTTTGTTACATAGGTATACATCTTTAAAATGAAAAAATATTTGCAAATTCTTCCAAAAATTATATCCTATGATGGGGTAGAAGGGTTGATTATTTCCATGGGGAATCTTATCACTTTTCAAATTAGGTTTTTAGAAATTTATTTGGAAAACTGTTTTACCAATGAACACAAAATTTAGTAGGGTGGTACTTTATGGACATGGCATATAAGCACAGAAGGAGGGCTAATTGTAGATACGTAAAGATCTGTACTGTACACGAAACCCAGGAAACTCTTCGTCCTATGGTTATGAAATTGGGCAGGAAGATAGTTTATGAACATGGCACGTCAACCAAAAATGGATTTTCCGATATGCATGATTAAAGGGGGATAAGGGCAAATATATGCAAAAGAGAAAACAGATTCAACTATTAATCACGAAAT